CTAAAAGCATCGGAATGCTTCTGGGCTAGCAGAGGGTGGTCTATGAAGAATCCTCGCCACCATCCGCGAGTATGAGCCCCCGGACGGCTTGGGGGATTTGGTACTGCTCCGGCTGGGTTACTAGGGTGCATGACCAGATGGAGATTGCCCAGGTGAAAGGCCAAAGGCGCAGCAGGAGAGAATGGTTTTAATCAAAAACTAGTAGTATGTGTGTACACAGCAGGGCTCGATATTCTAATAGTACCCTACGGCCGTGCGTTATCGATAGCTGCTACTGCTTCGTGCGAGCGTGGTTCCCGCTTCGTCGAGCGCTCAATACCGGCGTCTTGCTCACGCGGGACCCATGAAACCGCCCGGTCATTGACCGTGACTCGGTCGTTGACGCATCAATGACCAGCTGTCAGTCAATGACCGTGACTGGGATGACTCGGTCATTGACTGCCCAACACTGGGCTACAAGAAGTGTAAGGGGCAAGCGACCCGATAGAGATGACGCATTAGGCGGTATAGCGCTGCGCATCATCTTTGACGACCGCGCCTGCAGGCGCCTGCACGCTGGAACCTACTGAACCTGTACCATGACCGCGCGAGACCGTCCAGCGACGGCCGGCTCTAACCTCGCCCTGCAATTCGGAATGGTCCTTCAATTCGGAATGCCCTGCAATCCGGAATCCCTTGCGATTCAGAACGTCGTCAACTAATTCGGAATGCCACACGGGTGCGACCTTAGCTTCTACTAACCTGGAACCCGCCTGCTCCCGTCCCAACGCAGCAGGGCGCACTGGATGGCGGTGGCGTGCCCGCCCACCAATCGAGCTGTGGCGTCCGGATGTTTTCGTGGCTCCCGGAGGTGATCTGCGCAGCGGATGGGCGATCGCGGATGCAACCCAAGGCTAATCAAAGCCTGAAATAGACGTGCGCCCCTCGGCGGGCTATTCCTGGCGTAGGATGATTACCGTGATCTCCAACGAGCTGGCAGAACTATGTTTCGTGGCTGAATGCATTGGTGCCGGTGTCTCGTCAGGGGGCATCCTGCGTCGAGGCGCGCAGGAAAGTCGGCCGCCCATACGACCTCTGTGCTGACGTGCCACCGCTCAGTACGGGCCGGGAGAGCATCCGAGTCGTGGGGTGAAGCTGGAGAGGAAAGGCAGACTATACCGGTAGAGTGCGTACTACGCCCAGTACCCGCGCGCCCCTTGTTATTCCGCTCAGGGCTTTGACTCTAAGCACTCGGCGAACATGTACAAGCGAGATGTCGGCAGACTTGTGCCGCAAGAACAGGGTCGCAGCGCGACCATTGCGCGTGTTTTCGCGTAGCTCCACGTATGGTGAGAACTCAGTAGAGAGCTGCTCGTCGAGTCGAAAGCAAGGGGGTGACGTGGGGACACCCGCCCCTTCGTCGGCGAAAGCGGGGAGCGCCCGAACACCGTGACCATACGCATCTCCGTCCTGCCGCTTT